AAAAAAAAAAAAAAGAAAGAAATATCCAGACAATCCACGCACTGCATTTGGCGGAGGGCGGGTTCCTTTAAGTTCTGGATTCCTCTTCCTCTTTTTTTTCCTCCTTGCACCATCCTTGTTGAAGAAACTAGGTTGTTTGTTCCGTAGACTTTTCCGCTGTGGCGTCATCTTTGTGGTCGACTTGAATGCATTCCTCTGTCCTCACCTTGACCCACCAATGGTCAAGTTCAATTTCCATTTTTTGGCAAGACTCACAGAGGGCACTGTGCCCTCTCCGCAGGAGACACTCAGGGTCAGCTTGTCCCTCCTGTTGTGACATGAACAGCCACCCAGATCCATCAGGGATGCATTTTATTTTCCAACATTTTACTCTGAAAAATTGCCGACATATAGAAAAGTTGGGAGAATAGTACAGCAAACATCTCTAAATTCCACCGTCACCCAATTGCTAAATTTACCTTATCATGCGGTATCTGTCATTTCTCTGCCATCCATCAATCCATCTCATATTTTGGATACAAATCAAAATAGGTGGATGTCATATTTTTTCCTGTGGTGAAATATACATAATATACATTTTACCATTTTGACTATTTTTAAGTGTATGATTCAGTGGCATTAAAAACATTCACAATGTGTGTAATCAATACTATTATTTACAGAACTTTTTCATCTTCCCAAACAAAAATTTGTCCCCACTGGACACTAACTTCCCATTCCCCTCTCCTCTCAGCCCCTGGTAACCACTGTCTACTTTCTCTAGGAATTTGCTATTCTAGTGTCTTCATATAAGTAGAATATTTGTCCTTTTGTGTCTGGCTTATTTCGCTGAGCATAATGTTCTCAAGGTTCATCCATGTTGTAGCACGTGTCAGAATTTCATTTCTTTTTAAGGGTGAATGGATGGACCACTTTTTTTCTGTTGTTTTTTTTTGACAGCAGCCATCCTAATAGGTGTGAAGAGCGATCTCACGTGGTTTTAATTTGCATTTTCCTAATGGCTATGTTACCGCACAAAATTGGGGTCCTCTTGCCCGAAGCACATCAAGAGCCAATTATTAAGGCATCAGCTTTGGGAAAAAGAAACCAGCTTTATTGCTAGGTTGATCTGCAAGGAGATAGGGGCATATGCTCTCAGATCTGTCTCCCCAGTCCAGGGCTTGGGGCACAATTTATGGGATGAAGGGCGGGGCTGTCTGAAGTGCAGAGATAGATGATTGGAGGAGAGGAGAGGTGAGGTAATTGATGATCTGCGCAAGCGCGGTCAAGCTCCGTGGCTCTTCACGTTCACAAAATAGTGGTGGTGGCATGATCTGAGCGTGGAGTTTTCAGCCCTTGGACGTCAAAAGGGTCACCTATGGGTCATCCTTGCAAGCCCAGTTGATGAGCTGGTGGTCTTCACCAGCCTGAACTGCACAAGGGGTCTCAGTTCCTGAAAAACCACTCTCAATTACTCTTGATGAGATGGGGTCAGTTGAACTGGTCCTGGAGGGCCCGTGGTTACAGCTAGTGATGTTGAGCGTCTTTTCGTGTGTTTATTGGCCATTTGTACAGCTTCCTTGGAGACATGTCTATTCGAGTCCTTTGTTCGTTTTTGAGTTGGGTTGTTTTGTTGTTATTGACTTGTAAGAATTTCTTTATAATCTGGATATAAGCCCTTATCAGATATATTATTTACAAATACTTTGGATTTGGGTTTTAGTTGCTCTCTCAGCACCATGCAGGAAATGGACTGGGGGGCCCGGCAGTTGACTGGAGGGGGGAGGTGCCCCAGGTGAGGCAGGAGGGGCCGTGGCCTCAGGGATGGGGAGAGTGGATGAACGCTGGGTGTTATCGACGCCCTCCACAAGGTCCCTCTCTGGAGCTCAGATCAGAGGCACAGGAGGCGGGTCAGAGGCCTGAGAGATGGAAGTGGGAGTGCCCACCTGACCCCCCAGTCCCTTCTCTTGGGATGAAAGGACCAGCTGCCCAGAGGGGAAGGCAAGGGAGGATGAGACAGGGGACAGGGCCAGTTACAAGTAGCATCCTTGACAGACAGTGGTTCAGATTTCAGCTGTCTCCCTGCCTCAGCACTGCACACGGGGCATGGGCGGCCCCAAGATCTTCAAAGGTAAAGGGCCTACAGGAGCCACTCAGGTGGTCAACACAGAGCTGGGCACCCAGTAAATGTGGGCGCTGTTCGTTTTCATGGCTTCCCTCATCTTAGGGGTCCCTCATTATCATCCCCAGATCTCTTAATTGCCCCCCAGGAATGTTGAGATCTCACGCTAACCCCTTGAGGCCCTACCTAGAAGTCCCTTCATTTCCCCCTGAAATGTTGCCTTGAAATCTCATCTTATCACCTCCAGGACAGTGCTTGGAGGTCCCCCATAAGTTCAGCTGGAAGGAGGTGTCTCATCTCCCTCCACGGCCCCCCCAGGCTTCGTAGTTCTGAGAACAAAGGAAGTTGATTGTGTTCCACTTCCTGTGAGTTCATTTCTGGACCAGCAGTGTAACTGAGGTCTGCCCTGCCAGAGACTCGCCACCACCCTCCACCTTGCTGGGCCCTACCAAGGTCCCCCACTCTGGACCCCCGGGGTCACAGAGTGTCCCCCTGCCCCTCCCCAGGCCTGAGCAAGGGGCAGCCCCTGGACTTCTGCAATCCTCACCACTGTGGCTGCACTTCCGTCCCCTGGGCGGCTCCGCCTGTTCCCTGCTGCCAGACACCTTCCTCCCACAGGCTGGCTACTGTGATGCCCTCGGGGCGACTGCCTGGGGCCTGCTGGATGTCGCTCGTCTTCCTGCTTCTCATCGGCTGTCTGCTGCCCGCAGGTGAGGAGAGTCAAGCTGGGGAGGGCTGGAGTCGGGAGGTCAGTAGAGAGAGGGTGAGAGAACAGAGAAAGCAAAGCTCTCCACATCCTGTGCCCTGGCCATCTCGAGGACTTCCTGAAACTCAGATCCGACAGGGGCTCGAGAGAAAGTTGTGGCTCCTTAACGCAGCCTCCAGGGCTCCCCGAGGCGCCATCCCTGCATGTAACTTGTTCCCTACCCCCAACACACACACACACACACACTCTCCCAGCTCCATGTAGCCCCTCGATGTGTGCCTATGCTCTTCCCTCTGCCAAGACCTTGCTTCCCTTTCATTTAGCTAACGCCTACTTATCCTTCAAAACTGGCCATGGTCGTCCCCTCCTCCAGGAAGCCTTCCCTGACTCACTCCCTCCTGTAGTTTGGATCAGGGTTTCCTTGGCCTTCCTCCAAACTCTCCCCAGTTCCTGATCCATCATCCGTCTTCCCCACTAGACTAACGCACCCTGAAGGCGGGGACCATTATACCTGGGCATGAGGTGGGACCTGAGGATGGGGGGTTGGGGGGCACCAGAACAATCAGGAGAGTTTCTGTCTCTTCCCGCAGGTGTCCATGGGCAGTACTCACTGCGATTTGAGCCCCAGGACCTAGTGGTACCTGATGGAGGGTCCATCTCGGTAAACTGTAGTACAGATTGTCCCCATTCTCGACCCATCCTCCTGGAGACCTTCTTACCCAAGAAGTCGCTGGGTCAGGGCTTGGGCTGGGCAGCCTTCCAGCTCAGCAATGTAACCAATGACAGCCAGATCCTCTGCTCCACCTTCTGCGACGGCTCCCAGCTGTCAACCTCTTCTAACATCACAGTGTACCGTGAGTGGACGTGCCTGGAGCGGGGAATGGCCTCGGGTGGTGGCGGGGGGGGGGTAGATGGCCAGTGGTGCAGGGGGAGCGGAGGCCTGGAGTTTGCAGGAATGGACCAGGGCTCTGACCCAGAGCCTGGACCTGGATATGTGTGTGTGTGTGTGAGAGACAGAGGTAGAGACAGAGACACAGAGAGATACACCTCAACTGTATGCCAGGCCAGCAGCTGTGACATCAATTTATTTGGGTCCTAGCAAGCATTTTTAAAATGACATCTCTTGGGCTGGCCCAATGGCGTAGGATTGGCAGATTAGCCCTCCAGGGCTAATCTTCCTCACGAAGAAAAATAAAACAGCAGCTGCTGGCAGCCAGCGCTATACAAATGGAGGCTTGAAATTTACAGCTTTTTATACTGTTTTGATTTTGCAACCACATGAATTGATTACCTGCCATAAAAGTAAAAGTAATAGGGTACACACAGGATCTGCCAATCCTCCCTGTCTATTCTTGAGGAAGACTGACCCTGGGCTAAACCATCCGTGCCCATCTTCCTCCCCTTCATACGGGAGGCCGCCTCAGCGTGGCCTGACAAGCTGTGTGTCGGTGCGCGCCTGGGATCCGAACCCCGGCTGCCAGCAGCGGGGCGAGTGCACTTAACCGCTACGCCACGGGGCCGGCCCCTGTGGCTGCTGTTTTAAATGTTGACTTATTCACTCCTTACAACAGCCCCGGGTGGGGAGGTTCTCCTATGAGCCTCATCGCAGATATGGAGACCGAGGCTCGGGGGTCAAGTCACGTGCCAGCGCTCACAGCCCATGAGCGGAGCAGCTGGCACTCTGGTTCGCAAATCCCTGTCTGTAACAGGCTAGGTCTTCCTCTCCAGACTCTGCGTCCCCCTGTTACTGGTTTCTTATGGATCCTTCCAGACTTCCTCTGCATTTAAAAGAATACAACAGGCCTGGCCCCGTGGCTTAGCGGTTAAGTGCGCGCGCTCCGCTGCTAGCGGCCCGGGTTCAGATCCCGGGCGTGAACCGACGCACCACTTCTCCTGCCATGCTGAGGCCACGTCCCACATACAGCAACTAGAAGCATGTGCAACTATGACATACAACTATCTACTGGGGCTTTGGGGGAAAAAAAAAAGAGGAGGATTGGCAATAGATGTTAGCTCAGAGCCGGTCTTCCTCAGCAAAAAGAGGAGGATTAGCACGGATGTTAGCTCAGGGCTGATCTCCCTCACAAAAAAAAAAAAAAAAAACACATTAAAAGAATACAATAGACTAGGAAATAGCAGAGAACGTCACTCACTCACGGTGCCTACTGTTTTGGGAAGTCTTGAGATAAGTGTAGTGTACATGTGTAATCGCGTAGGCTCCTGTGTGTGCGCTGGTGTATTTGTGCTTGTGTACTTATGTGTGTGTCCACGAGTGTATGTGTCTGTGTGAGTGTACGTGTGTATGTGTTGTGTCTGTATGTTTGTGTGTGCCTGTGTTTGTATCTGTGAATGCCTATGAACTTATGTGTGTGTCTGTGTGAGTTACTGTGTCAATATCTGTGTGTGTATGAGCATATGTGGATGTCTGTGTCAGTACGAGTCTATGTATGTCTTTGTATCCGTGTGTATTTCTTTGTAACGTGTACATCTGCCTGTGTGTACCTGCGTGTCTATGTGTGTGTCTGTGTGTCCCTGTCTCTGCGTGTCTGAGATGCCTCTGTCTGTGCTCTACGGGAGCCTGTTGGTCCTGGCTCATGAGACCCCACTGTGCTTATCTATTCCCAACTCCGTGTCACACTGGGTAGCTTGAAATCTGCCAGAGTGGGAGTATTTCCATGGGAGAAATTGGCAGATGCTCCAGGTCAGGGCTCCCCTGCTCCACCCTGAGAGCCCAGGCATGATCAGCATACCACTAGCCCTGACCAGTGGTACCCCAGGTTAGCGGAGTCCAGGCCAGAAGCTGGGAGGAGGGGCCAGAGGAGTCCCTAGATGTGACATCAAGGAGGCAAGTGGACACATGAGTCTGGAGTTTGTGAGACCCAGATTTTAACCCTAGTTCTGCTCCTTCCTGGCTGTGCATCCTTGGGCAAACCACCTCCCCTCTCTGGGCTCAGTTTCTCCATCTGTAAAAGGGAAGGATGATAGAGGAGATTTCACTGGGCTGCTGTGTGAATGAAGGTGGATGACATCTGGAAAGTTTAAGAAAAGCTCTCAATACACAGGAATTTTGATGATTACTATCAACCTCATAAAGGAGTCATAAACGTTACCTCCTCTTCCTTTTTTTTTTTTTTTTTTCTTAACTGTGAGGTTCTGGGGAACAGAACATCTGACTTTTATTTCAGTGCCTGGCAAGGTGTCTGACAAAACAGGAAATAATCATGATCCTAAGGACAATAGCAAACACTTATCCTGGCAGGGACTTAAGCCCTCTGGGTTTATTAATTCAAAGTTCACAGTTCCACGCTGAGCAGGCCACCCTCGGCTCCTCTCCACTCCCTAGGGTGGGGGCTGCAGGGCTGGCTGGTAAGTGCTATTCTTCCCCCCCCCCCATAGGGTTCCCTGATCGCGTGGAGCTGGCCCCCCTGCCCCGCTGGCAGCCCGTGGGCGAGAACCTCACGCTGAGCTGCCAGGTGGTGGGCGGGGCGCCCCGCGCCAGCCTCACGGTGGTGCTGCTCCGCGGGGAGGAGGAGCTGAGCCGGCAGCCGGCCGTGGGGAAGGCCACCCAGGTCAACGTCACCGTGCTGGCCCGCAGAGAGGACCACGGCGCCAATTTCTCGTGCAGCACCGAACTGGACCTGCGGCCCCGAGGGCTGGGACTGTTCCAGAACAGCTCGGCCCCCAGGCAGCTCCGAACCTTCGGTGAGGGAAGGGACTGCAGACAATGGGTATGAGCTGAGCCAGAAAAGGGGTGCCTTGGCCGCGGGGTTCCTGAGAATAGAGTGGCTCGGACCTCAAGGCTTCTGGGAAAACATGCCCTTGGCCACTGGGCGGGGTCACCTCAGACGGGAAGCCCTTGGCCGCGCGGGAACCTTTGAGAAGGCTGTGAGTGTGTCCTGGGAAGGGGGTGACTCAGGCCGCAAGGTATCCTGGGAAAGAAGGACCCTGGTTGGGGGCAATGAGTGTGTCATGGAGAAAGGGGCATCTACGGCTGTATGAGACCTCCTCCTGCTCAGGCCCACCCTTCTCCCCAGCCCTGCCCATGAGGCCCCCGCGCCTCGATGTCCCCAGGTTTTTGGTGGGAACGTCGTGCCAGGCGAACTGCACGCTGGACGGGTTGTTCCCGGCCTCCGAGGCCCAGGTCGAACTGGCGCTGGGGGACCAGACGCTGAATCACACAGTCGAGAGACGCGGGGACAGTATCACAGCCACAGCCACATCCACATGGAGCGCAGAGCAGGAAGGCACCCGGGAGATCGTCTGCAGCGTGACCCTGGGGGGCGAGACCCGGGAGACCCGGGAGAACGTGACCTTCTATAGTAAGAGGGGGCGGGGCCCAAACAGCTCAAGAGGCGAGAGGGGACCCGGCTTCAGCAGCACGAGGGGCGGGGCGCACAGCGCGGGAGACTAAACCGGAGGGGCAGGGCCTGGGCCGCCAGAGTGGGAGGAACTACGACGTGGGCGGGGCCTAAGTGACACGAGAAACACCATAGCCTGAGCGCCCCGAAATGGGCCAGGGCGCGGGGAAGCCGAAACGCGTGGCCCCAATACCCCGAGGGGAAAGAGGCGGATGGAGGGCGGGGATTGACGGATGGGAGGTGCGTGGTCAGCAAAGTTCTGGGCAACGCTCTGCCTTTAGGCTTCCAGGGGCCCATCCTGAACCTGAGCGAGCTCAGCGCCCCGGAGGGGACCACAGTGACTGTGACTTGCGCGGCCGGATCCCGAGTCCAGGTCACGCTGGACGGAGCTCCAGCCGTGGCCCTGGGGCAGCCTGCCCAGCTTCAGCTAAACACCACGGAGACGGACGACAAGCGCAGGTTCTTCTGCAATGCCACCCTCAAAGTGGACGGAATGACCCTGTACAGGAACACGAGCGTCCAGCTGCATGTCTTGTGTGAGTAGGTCACTCTGATCTTTAATCCCTTGCTCCCTTTATTTGGAAAGACTTGATTCTCCCTTGCCCCATCGTGCCTCGGGTGCGCTGGGTGTGTCTGATCATTTGGTGGTCCCACAGATGGTCCCAAGATTGACCGAGCCACATGTCCCAAGCGCTTGAAGTGGAAAGATAATACCAACCAGGTTCTGGAGTGCCAGGCCCGGGGCAACCCGAAACCGCACCTACGGTGTGTGCACCAGAGATCCCAGCTCGAGGTGCCCGTCGGGACCTCATTCCTTGTCACGTTGAACTACAGTGGTACCTACTTGTGCAACGCGGCCAGCTCACGGGGCACGTACAATCTGACCGTGGTGATGAGGGTTCAAGGTGAGCCAAGGCGAGGCCGCGGGTGTAGACCGGCAAGCCCAGGAGGGGCCGGGGCGCGCGCATTTACTCCTTGCTTCTCTGCACAGATTCGAACTCCGCAGTCGTCGCACTCATGGTGGCGTTAGTGATCCTGGGCCTGGTGACTGTCTTAACGGCCTTACTGTATGTCTTCGTGATCAAGAGGCAGAGTGACACCTACCAAGTGAATCCGAGGAGCCCCACCTGGTTGCCCCTCACGTCTAGACAGCCTGACCAAGCAGGGGGGGAGGAGCCATCCTGAGCCTCAGGCCGCGGGGATACTAGGCCAAAGACGACGGGGATTTGGCCGTAGCCCCGGGTTGCGCACCAATAAAACCTTCAAAATCCGGGGTCTGTGGCTTGATTGCACTTGCGCCGAGCGTCCACTGAGTGACATCTCCGCGGGGGAAGGGGGCGGAGCTTGTGGTGCCCAGACGCGGCTTGAACTCTAAGAGGCGGGCTGGGTCTTAGCCAATGGGCTGGCGGGGTCGTGAAGGAGGCGGGGCTTCTCTCGGCCAATCGGCGGAGGCGTCCTCGTTGCCGCTCTATGCCGCTCCGCCCCGGCTCGCTGGTCCCAGAAGGCGCCGGGTTTCCCAAGATGGCGGCCGACGTGTCCGTTACTCACCGGCCCCCGCTGAGCCCGGAGGCTGGGGCCGAGGTGGAAGCCGATGATGCCGCGGAGCGCCGGGCGCCCGAAGAAGAACTGCCGCCGCTAGATCCCGAGGAGATCCGGAAACGCCTGGAACACACCGAGCGCCAGTTCCGTAACCGCCGCAAGATACTGATCCGGGGCCTCCCGGGGGACGTGACCAACCAGGTATGAGGGGGGGGCGGTGTGGGAGCGTGGCGGGAAATACCACCGTGCGCGTGCGCGGGGGGAACCGGGCGACACCAACGCTGGCGTGCGCGGGGGGGCGTCGGCGGGAGAGCCCAAGCGCGGGATCCACGCGGGGTCGGGAGAGACCAAGAGCGGGATTTGGGGGGGCGGTGATGGAGGGAGAAACCAACTTTGGACTGAGGGAGGACGTTGCTAGGGGCGACCACAGGCTTGGACGAGACCAAGCGATTGAAGGGGGCGGGGAATGGACGGGGGCGGGCAGCTCTGGCCATGTTGGGGGATTGTGAATGGGCAGCTACGTTGGGACTGGGGAAACGGGGGCGCCAGTTGCTGCCTGCTCTGATTGTGTGTTTCCCCACCCCCTCTACTCTTGGCTGGTGGGATCTCATATCCAGAAGTTTCAGGGTTGGCTCGAGTATGCCTTTCCGTAGCACCCGTTTATTATATCCTCTGAGAGATAGATCCGGAAGTTGTAGCAGTTCCTGGGGTCTTTCTTCCCCAAAAGCCCTAGAATTAATTTGGAAAAATGGGGTCTCCTGCCCCCAGTCCGCAGACCTGCAGGAAAGGGGTCCATTGTTCTGTGGAGCCCCTCGTGGCTGATCTTCTGGCCTGGGGTGCCCTTCTCTTGGGGCCTCCATGGGGCAGGGCATCCCAGTGCTCTTTGGACTCGGAGAGATTGCAGCTGCCGCACCCTGCCGCGGAGGAATGGGTACTTTCTCCCTGCTGCCAGAATCCACTGCTCCCTGGCCCACCAGCACATCTGCCACTGGCTGTCCTGCCCGTACATGGGCACATGACTAGTAGGGTCCCAGGAGTGTTGAGAGGGGTGTGACTTGGGGACAGACCTCGGGCAGGTGCCACTAAGCATGGTCTGGTTTATTCCTAGAGCCGGCTTTCCTCCTAGTGCCCACCATCGCTCAGCAGAGAACATGCTGCCTCTCCTGCTGGGTGCACGGTCTGGCACAGGCAGGCCCCAGAGGCTTCCCCCTCCCCCGCAAAGCTGGCTTGCAGAAAGGCAGGTGCTGTCAGCGAGAGGGAATCAGGAGGCACGTGAAGCCACGCCATGTGGGCTCATTAAGTACACAAGGTCCCCAGTCAGGGACCCCTGCGTGGCATTCCCACTGCTGCCCTGACCAATCTACCTTCGAGAGGTTCCTTCACCTCTCTGAGCCTGTTTCCTCCTCTACGAAATGGGTATGTTAATACCTAATTTGTGAGGTTGTCGGAAAGAGTCAGTCTCGCAAACCGAGATTCAGACGGGTGACGTGGCTTCCCTATGGGGCATACAGCAGAGCTGGGCCAGGAACTCAGATCCACCTGACTCTCTAAAGAGCGAGTTCTGTTGGTTAAAAGCATGAGATTTTGCGGCTACGCTCTGAATCCCAGCTCTGGCCTCAGTGGCCTGGGCCGGGTACCTGCTCTGAGCCTCAGTGGCCTCATTTGTAGAATGGGGATGGCAGTTAACCTGCCTGCATAGCAGGTCCCCGTGAAGGTGGCGCAGGTTGCTCGCTTCTGCCCCTGGTGACTCCCTGTCCTTTGGCTTCTGTCTCCGCAGGAAGTGCACGACCTGCTCAGCGACTATGAGCTCAAGTACTGTTTTGTGGACAAATTCAAAGGGACAGGTTTGTGGGGCCGTGGGGTGGGCTAGTGGCAGAGGGTGACAGTCCCTGAAGCTGGGTGGGGCCTGGCGCAGCGTCTCCTCTCCTGAACTTTGGCCCAACATCGTCCCCTAGGCCAGCGCAGGACAGACTGTTGCCCCCGTCTGTCCCTCGTCCTGGGTGCCCATCGTGGGGCAGCCTTGATGCTCTTCCTCCTGGCTGCCCAGCCAGATACCTGGGCATTGGGCTCCCCGCTTCCCACGCCATCCCCCCAGCCAGCCAGTCACAGAGGCCTGTCTGGTCTTCTCCTTCAAGCCTTCCAGAACAATTGGTGCCTCTCCATTCCCTTGGCTTCCACCTGCTCCCTGGCCCCTCCATCTCTGCCTGAATGGCAGCCTCTCTCTGGCCTCTCTGGCTCTGTCATTTCAGGCCCCTGTTGCCCCCCGAGGCAGCCAGCTCTCGTCTGATTGCAAACCTGCTCAAACCTTCGAACCTTGATCATTCTTCTCTTTCCTCAAAACCTCTCTGAGGCTCTCCTGACTGTACCTTCCAAGGATGTGTCCCAGCCTTGCCATCTCCTCTGGCCCCCATAAGGTTCCAGGCTGTTCCTTCTGCCGCTGTTCTTAGCTGTCCCCTCTTCCGTCCAGGTGGCGCCAGGCAGCTCCTCACAGAGCCCTGAGGCCCCCCCATCATAGCACTGACCCCCCTGGGCTGTTGTTGCTCGCTCACTCACCCGCCTCCTGCACTGAGTGGTCAGCTCCGTGCAGACAGGGCCAGGTCTTATCAGCCTTCGCCCCCCACCTCCTGCACGGGAGGCTCTTGGTGGGTGCCTGTGCCCTCTAGGCACTGTGCCAGGCGTTAAACCTTCAGGGGCCTTTGCTTACGATCTGTCACATGAGTGTGGCATGTGAAGGAGCTGAGTGAGGACAGGTGACCCCTCGAGACCTACCTTGTGGGCTAGGGTGGTGGTTGCACCCTGGAGGCAAATGGGCTTGAGTCCTTGTCTGTTCTCACTCTGTGGCCATAGGCAGGTCGTTTACCCTTCTGAGCATCGGTTTTTTCACCAGCAAATTGGGCGTGACCTGCTCGAGTTGGCCGTGAGGCTAAACTCATTAAAATAGCTAAAAAGGGGCCGGCCCCGTGGCGTAGTGGTTAAGTGCGCGCGCTCCACTGCTGGCGGCCCGGGTTCGGATCCCGGGCGTCCACTGACGCACCGCTTGTCAGGCCATGCTGTGGCAGTGTCCCATATAAAGTAGAGGAAGATGGACACAGATGTTAGCCCAGGGCCAGTCTTCCTCAGCAAAAAGAGAAGGATTGGCAGATGTTAGCTCAGGGCTGATCTTCCTCACAAAAAATAAACAAATAAAAAATAAAATAGCTAAAAAGCGGTGGGTGCCTGGCACCTGCTCGGTGCTTGGTAAATATTGGGAGAGGCAACAAGTCAGAACTGTTCACTGAGCGCCTTGAGACAGTCCACTTTGGGGAGGAGGATGTGATTCAAACAACTGCCAACATTGAAGGTGCAATGGTCATGGGACCAGACCATGCAGGGCACTGTGGGAGCACAGAAGTGGGATCTGAAACAGGAGTGGTCAGGGTAGGCTCCATGGAGGAGGTGATGTTTGTAGTCAGCTTGAAGGGTGGGCCAGGGTCAATCAGGTGAAGAGGTAGAGGCCAGTGCCACACGCTCAGGGAAAAGCAGGTACAGAGGCCTGTGGGAGAGTGTGCCTGGCATGGTCCACGAAATAGTAGCAACAGATGGGAGAGGAGGTCAGCAAGGCCACAGGGCCAGGCCATGCAGGCTCCACTGACCTCCACAGTGAGAAGCCCCTGGGTAAGGGCATGGCACGATCTGATGATGGTTTTTGTTTTTTTGTGTGTGTGTGAGGAAGATCGGCCCTGAGCTAACACCTTCCAATCCTCCTCTTTTTGCTGAGGAAGACTGGCCCTGGGCTAACATCCGTGGCCATCTTGCTCTCCTTTATATGGGTATGGGATGCTGCTACAGCATGGCCTGACAAGCGGTGCATCGGTGCGCGCCCGGGATCCGAACCTGTGAACCCCGGGCCGCCAGCAGCGGAGCGTGCGCACTTAACCGCTTGTGCCACGGGGCCGGCCCCTGATGATGGTTTTGAAAAGCTCCCTGTGGCTCCTGGGGGGAGAGCAAACCCCTGGGGGGAGTGGCAGCGGGACCAAGGCTGAGACAGGGGCTCGGACGTGAGAGGGGTTAGTGGCCTGGAAAGGCGGTGAGGGAGGGGCACAGAGCCCGCCTGTCTGGGTTCAAGTCCAGGCTCCTCCGCTTGGGCAGAGGGCGCTGCCCTGGGCCCGTTTCCTCGCTGGCAAAACGGTGGTTGTGAGGAGTAAGTTATTCCCATTTGATAGATGGGGAAACTGAGACCCCAAAGCCACTGGGGGGCTAGAGTTGAAACCAGGCTCCAGTGACCACATGCTGAACTCCTACCGTGTGTGTCACCCGAGTTACACACATGCGTCCTGGGACAGAGCCGGGTGTAGAGTCAGCGCTGCTGTGGGTCGTGAGCGGGGCGAGGGTGAGAGCAGGGAGCAGGCCTCGTGGCACGTGGGTTGCTCAAGGCTGGTGACCCTTCCAGTCAGCTGCTGCCTGAGATATCCAGGTGGTTCAGTGTCCTGAGGTCACACGTGGTCTCGAGGGCGGAGGGGCAGGTCCTCGGGGCCCCCCTGACCCCGTGTCCCCCCTGCCGCAGCCTTCGTGACTCTGCTGAACGGGGAGCAGGCCGAGGCCGCCATTGGCGCCTTCCACCAGAGCCGCCTGCGCGAGCGCGAGCTGTCGGTGCAGCTGCAGCCCACGGACGCCCTGCTCTGCGTGGCCAACCTGCCGCCCAGCCTCACGCAGCAGCAGTTCGAGGACCTGGTGCGGCCCTTCGGCAGCCTGGAGCGCTGCTTCCTGGTCTACAG